AGAAGGGGCCGATCGTGATACGGGATCATCTTCTCTTCTTTTGCGCCATCTTGTCGCGCAATTTCGGCAGTAGTTATCTTTTAGGCGGTGTTTACAATCACGACGTAGATGGCCTTTTTCGCCACAAATCCAGCATTGGGGTACACCATGCTGTTGGGGTTCGCGTTTCACAATCACCTTCTGGCAAGAGCATTCTTCATGTACTTGGCGTAGACGTACGTCACTTTTTGATGCTTGCTTTGCCGATTCAAAAGTGAGACTGTGCGCAACGGCATCCTTGAGTTTTCGTTTATCTGACAAGAGAAGGGATTGCTTGAGTTCCGAATCACGAAGGGCTTTGATAAACGTATCCAGGGCAGTTTCGTCTCTGTGCTCGGGGTCTGATGTTGGATACGACAGCAATGTCAACCGTTCGATATCTTGTGCCAGCTGCTGAATGGATTCACCAGATCGTTGCGTTCTGTTTCTAAGTTGAGACCGATAAATCTGCTTCATGTGTTCTTCACCATAACGTAAATCCAACGCGCTAACCAGAACTTCATAGTTGAAGTGGTTCTCCGCCGGAATCGTCTGAAGAACCTCTGCTGCTGAACCTCGCAGGGCCAGTATCAGTGCTGTTGATCGTTCTTTTCCGTTCCAACAGTTACTAGTTGCCGCTGCTTCGAACTGGTTTTTATAAACGTTCCAAGACATCTCTCCGTCAAATGCTGGTACCTTCAAAGTTCTTCCGGATGCGTGATCTAACGGCATGGCCATTTTTTTTGGATTGCTCCAATTCTCGCTTTAATTTGTCTATCTTGTGATCTACCTCAACGGTCTGACGATCAAGTTTCTGCTCGATCATTTCTATTCTTATTGACTGTTCTTCAATCTGTTCTGCCACTTCCAATTTTACGTGTTTTAGCTGGTCCTTGATCTGTTTTAACTCCTCTGTCTGTCGTTCGGACTGTTCCTTGATCTGTTGTTTTAACTCTTCTGTCTGTCGTTCGGACTGTCGTTCGGACTGTTCTTTGATCTGTTTCAACTCCTCTGTCTGTCGTTCGGACTGTCGTTCGGACTGTTCTTTGATCTGTTTTAACTTCTCTGTCTGTTGTTTTAACTCTTCTGTCTGTCGTTCGAGCTGTCGTTCGGACTGTTCTTTGATCTGTTTCATTTCAGTTGACATACTAAGTAGAAGTTCCATCATTTTAGCGGTTGTAAACGTGCCTGTGCTAATTTCATTGTCTTCGTCAGCACCATCAAACTTGAATTCGTCTGGGTTCTTACCTTCGTCAATGAGAGCTTCTCTCAGACGTGCTACTAGTACTTTGTTCTTTTTCTACGAGTAGTAATTCGCTGGTCGAAGATCCCGTGTTCTGACACCAATGTTATAATTCTCGCTGTCGTAACCGATTTACGATGCGACGGGTTCAAATTCTTGATTGAATAAAATATTCCAAACAGTTATTAAACTTTATTTACAGAAGAAATCAACTATTATTAGTTATTAAACTTTATTTACAAAAGAAATCAACTAATCGTTTATTTCTAGTAAATTCAAACTAACGCAACAATTAACTTTTAAATCGTTCAAAATCTATCGCTATGACAACGTCAACAAACAAATCAAATATCGCTTTAAATAATTCACCGAATCGCTATTCACAAAATCACGAATTTCAGTAATCACGAATATCACTAATCACGAATATCATTAATCACGAATATCACTAATCACGAATATCACTAATCACGAATATCACTAATCACAAATATCTTGCGACGTGCGCTTATATACTCTTCGCAAGCGTCGTTTCTAGATTCTTCCCGATGGTCCGATTCCAGCATACTCTAGAACGTTCCAGTCACTAGAACATTCTAGAATACGCTAGAATCTAGTGCGTTCGGTAGCACGGTTATAACATTATGTTAAACAAATTTTAGCAACTGATTTTTTTCTAAGAAGGTTTTATATTAAATTTGATTTGGAAGGTACTAATCTTTTCATCATTTTGTGTATATCTTTAATTATAACAGATTCCATAATTTTTATCAATTAATTAATTTTGAGCATTTTATTGTACATAATAAAATTTTGTTAATAAAAAATTGTTGAAAGATTAAATCGGGAAAAAGAAATGAGTCAGTGCATTTTTGGAGGTTAGTCAAACCCGTACAAAGTTATTTTCTCCTACATATTTTTACACTGTTTGCTTGTCTAAATATTTATATTGTTATTTAAATAAGAAAACTGGTATTTGTATTTGATAAATAATTTGAGTCCAAGTAGTTTACGTTTTATCAGCGACATTTGCCTAGTTAGTCAACGGTTAATACAATTAACTTCAGTATCAGGACTGGATGTGGAAGAGGACTGAACTAACCATTTCTCGGAACTTCTACAAACATGGGGTCCTTCAATAAAATTAAAAAATTTTACTTACAAATGGCCAGAAACTTCTAAATTTAAGCATTACAAAAAGCGTCATTTTGTAAAATATTTAAGAACTCCTCTTCTTCGTTAATCCGAGCCAGTGGATCTCCGAATCTGGTTCTTACTCTTCTGCTAAGTATTTTACCACCGTTTTTACTGCTGATGATAATAGTACTTGTTCACTACCCAGCCGTACTATCATTATATCATTAGATGATATTAATTTCACTCCAGATATAGTTATCAAGACTTCTCAAATTAAAAAGAACAATTTCTATGGGTCCCGATGGAATACCGAACATTCTACTCAAAATGTGTGCTTCTAATCTAGTTGTTCTACTATGCCACATCTTTAACTCATTTTTCAAAGATAACTCAAAACCATTTAAATGGAAAACTGCTATCATCATTCCAGTACATAAAAAAGGTCCAACTAATTATCCCATCAATTATAGACCGATATCTCTTACCTGTTCATCTTGCCGTGTCATGGAAAAAATTGTTAATAAAAATTTATTACCGTATTTGTTAGACAACAACTTAATAACTAATTCTCAACACGGTTTTCTTCCGGATAGATCAACTTCTTAAAGATTCATTGCTTATTCGACAACAAAAGGAAGGCTGTGACAAAATCTGTCTCGATTTTCAGAAAGCATTTGACTCTGCTTCTCATGCCAAGCTTCCTTGTAAACTAAAAACTTACGGCATAACTGGAAACTTACTAGACTGGTTGACTGAATTCCTGCATGAGCGTTCACAAAGAGTCCAGATTCAACATAAACTTTCCCGTTCAGTACCAGTGACAAGTGGTGTTTCTCAAGGCAGCTTTCTCGGACCCATCCTGTTCCTCATTTTTATCAACAATATTGATGATTGTATTTCCCTGCATCTTGTTTCCATGCTGCTTTTTGTGGATGATGTAAAATTGTACTCATGTTCTTCCAACTCAGTTCACTTGCATAAAGCCATCAACAACATTTTTGCTTGAAATAAACAATGGCAACTGCCACTCTCTCCTAACAAATCCTCTCAATGTTTATTACTTCTTTCATCCGGTAAAACATTTGTTAATCAATATGCGGTTGGTCACCGGTGTAATAATCAGCAATCGTTTCAATTTCGGTCGGCACATCAATGACATCACTCAAAGAGCGTCTACACGTGCATACCTAATCACCAAATGTTTTACTTCAAGAGATGAAGACCTTCTCACCAAAGCTTTCTACACATACGTTCGACCATTATTGAAATATTGCTCGTCCGTCTGGAATCCTCACCACAAATACCAAATGACAATGATAGAAAGTGTGCAAAGGAGTTTCACAAAGTTCTTTCCTTCATTTCGCCATCTTCCGTACACAACTCGTCTGTGCTTAATGGGATTACAAATGTTAGAAGATCGCAGACTAATTTCGGACCTATGTTTTGTGTACAAAATGTTAAACAACATTATTAGCGTTGATTTGAATGATCTGTTTTTTTCCCGTGTTCTACCAATCAACTCGTGGACATCCCTACAGACTACTTAAATCTAACTCCCACAGCAACACATCCAGATACTTTTTTGGTAGCAGAATTGTTCAAATATGGAACCCATTGCCTAAGGAGATTGTTTCGTCACCAGCATATTTGATTTTCAAAAACAAAATAACTTTAGTAGACCTCAACCCATTCGTAACTATTGCGTGAATATTGAATATTTCTTTTTCTCTTTGCTATGTCTGCGCATAGGAAATGTGGGTTTTGCTAGGAAGATGCATGGGTTAGCATTTTGACTCTAACTTATCATTAGACTACTTGAATTGTCATTTCTATATGACTGTTAATGTGTGCGTGGATTGTACATTGCTGTTAAATGAAAGGTTTGATTAATTGATTGTTTGATCGATCGTCATGCTGACAATGCAACGTTATTATTATTTTCTTTTATGCTTTTTAATTTCTTGATTACGATTTGATACTTATTTAGTATTGATCTCTTTTTCATTTTCTGCCATTTTGTTTAATTGTAATAGTCTGTTCTTTTTTCTTCTGAACGGAAAATTGGCCTGTGTGGTCTTCTGGCCAGTTGGATAATAAATAAATAAAATAAAAATAGTTTATGTGAATAATTAACAAGCATTCATTTGGCATGTTATCTCAGGCTGTCTGCAAGATGTCACGCTGCGTTTTCTAGCACGTGGAGTATTATTAAAAGTTTTTACATAAATCTAAATTACTTCATGAAAGAACTTAGGCATTTGAATGAAAAAGAGATCCAAATAACACGGAAAATTACGCTTGTCTATTCAATAGATACGTCAATTTAATGAAAGCTAATTTAAACTAAGTAAGCTAAATTATGCAATTTATTACTAACAATGAAACTAATTTGAACGCAAAGTTATAAATTTAATACTGGGCCGATATTACAAAGTGTTATATTAACTTTGTAAACTAAACTATACAATTTATTACTAACGTTATCTACAAGAAACATTTGGACACAAAATTAGTAATCGACTAAGGTGTCGAAATTACAATGTGCTATATTAAAGACCTGCGTTAACAAAGATTCCAGTTGCTATATATGACTAACTTCTGAACGCTGTTCATAAATTCAGTGTTTGTTAATAATCTTTAGTTCAAAATATTATATTTTTTAGGTGACATCAAAAGTATTTCTAGTAAATATAATTCATGGATAACAACGAAAATTTTGGAGGTGAGGAAGAGATGATCTCAAAAACTAAAAGAGAGGAGAGAGTGGCGGTAACAAGCAACGGTAACATTTCCGATGAAATTTTAGAGCAGTTCCTGAAAATCAGAGATCCTGATCACAAATTTGATGAACAAAAAATAAAAGCACACAAAGAAGAGATCGAAAAACAGAGAAAATTGTATTTTATTGGAAACACTCCAGAAATTGTTACGGAGAATCCGTTAGGAAAAAGCAACGAATCTCTACATATGGATGCTACTGAAAAAGATAGTGTTGTTGGACCGGAGCCTCCAGCTTGTTCATCAATGGAGAATGACAGTAAAACTGTTGATGATAATATGAGAGACTTCTACGATGAATATTCACGAAATATTCAATCTTATAGCGCTCGAATGAAAAGCTACACTGGTGACATGAAAAAGAACAAGCGTCGCTTTCAAAAATACATGGATCTTGTGAACAAATACATAAAATCCATGCAATGTTACGTAAACTATTTGCTTAAAAATGATTCATGTTCTAAAATATGTCCCAATAAGTCTATCTACTCCAAACGTTATCGTCCTTATTGAAAATTATTAAATTACTACCATTCATGTTACATTTATTTTTATAATCAACGAATTATTTTTGTTCCCATTAAAAATTAAAGTTGATGAAGTCTTTCAATAGTTTTCAGAACATTATGTATCAATCTGAGTATTTTAATTTTGATGAAAATCTTTTTGACTTTAACAAACATCTTTTGCTAAAAAAATTTTAACACCGAAACGTTAACAATTAAATCTACGTAGTTATTTTTCAATTTTGAAATTGTTTTAAAGATATTCCATTGCGATTACATTTATAAAATATGAAATGTAAACTAGTTTTTTTTCAAAACTAGCATGATAACATTTGTTTCATTCGGATAAGTTTCAAATTTCGACAACAAATTAACCGCTTATAACTAACGTTTTTAAGAACAAATTAGGTTCACCGTATACGTTTAAGTTCATATTAAGAGGCCGAACATTTGTGCAGTATTAAGGAGTGCAGTTCATATTCAGTAACATAGATTTAAGATAAAACGCGATTAAATTTGCAAAATTTTGGTAAAATTGAATTTATTTTTTTCAATGAAACCTGACAACTCCAAGAAGAATATGAAGAGCACCTCACAAATAACCGTTGGAGACTCCATTAGTTATCCCTGAATTCAATTCTCATAAATTAAACTGTTCTACTCCATTAAATGAGAATAATATTATAATCACTATAGTTTTGTGTTTCTAAACAGTTGTGATTTCTTGATTGTATTATCGAGTTAATTGAAATATTAGGGCTCTCACGATAAAAATCCGCAAAATGTTAAGTTCGAGGGGCCAGCAACTTTTTGAATCAATCTGAGTATTTTAATTTTCATGAAAATCCTTTTGACTTTAACAAACATCTTTTGCTAAAAAAATTTTAAAGGTTGGCAAAAAAATTTCAATTCGAAAATAATTATTAAACTCCGCTTCTTTGTTAATCCTGAGTCATAAAATTGTCGCGAAATTGTAATTAATCTCGGAGTAGTATCTTCAACTGACAAATAAAACGGATGCTACCATTTCAAATCATTTTCAAACACACGATCGTTCAAGCTAATAATTGAACGGCAAGCTAATGAAGTCAGGTCTGCTTTGTAGATGATTTGTTCGTGTTTACATTATTGAGTGAATCAGTGCAAGTATGTGTGATCATTAAGTGCTCCACGACGAACATCGTAACATTCTACTCGGAACAACTTCGCCTTCAAACGAAGTTTGTGCCTTTGTTTACAACTGAATGCTGATGAAGATAATTTGAACGGCCTAATTATCATCGACATTCTAATTCGACCATTTAATTTTGTTATTGAATTTGAGGCTATCATTCTACAGATATTTTGCAATTGCCTCTTGGTTTATATAAACTTTAAGAAGTGTTCAGTTAAGTTAATATAATGAAATTGAAGCTACATCGTTACGTTTATGTATTGAAATATTCTAACGTTCAAATAATGATTAAAACAAAACAATGCAAGAAAATATGTTGAAACATCTCACACATGGGATATCCTTGAAAGTGTATTGTGCTGATACATGATGCTGAACTCAGATGACAGATGATATACCAATCGGACCATACTTTTCTGTTGACATGGTTTTTGGAAAATTGAATAAAAATCACAAAATTTAAATTGTTTTTTTTTTCTATATACACCCTTTACTTTTTAAAACGAAAAAAATGAAAATACCAAACGGACATACACACACACGCACGCACAATATTTGTCTAAGATACATACATACAGACATATAATCTTGGCTTCATGATTGATTCAGGTTTGTCAATGAAACAACACATTAAGAAGCTCTCAGCCGAATGCATGTTTCAAATCAGGAAAATCAATCAAATTCGACGATCCCTAGATACATCCACATTACAGACGTTGGTTCATGCATTTGTGCACTCACGCGTCGACTATTGCAACAGTTTGTTTTATGATTTACCTGATCGATCCATGGCTATACTTCAATCAATACAGAATCGAGCCGCAAAAGTTGTTGTTGGAGCTCTAAAATACGACCATGTGTCTCCAATATTGAAGAAACTTCATTGGCTAACCGTCGACAAAAGAGTGTTGTTCAAAATTTCAACACTTGTCTACAAGTCTATCAACGGTCTAGCTCCATCTTATTTGTCTGACTGGTTCAAAAAGAGACCTTCAAAAGCATCTGGAGCACACTTGAGATCCGATGTTTCAAGCCTGCTGTTGATTCCAACAACGAGTTTCCGATCGGCTCTCGTAACATTGCTGTTTCTGGACCAACTGTTTGGAACAACCTGCCTGCTGCTCTCAGAAATCCGGACCTAAACCTGCGTGATTTCAAGAAGGAACTGAAAACTCATTTATTTTCATTGTGATGCATTATTGATCGATTCTTTCTGTTTAGTCGACATGTTCTAAATATTATTTCGTATTTTCGTTATATTGAATCGATTACTTTTCTGTTTATGACCAAATTTTAATCTTAATTCTGTAGGATGCATTATGATTTCTCGTTTGTTATTCCAATTATGTTGTTAAATTCAGTTTTTGTTAGATAGCGCTTTTGAGATTCGTTTAATTAGCGCTTCATAAATGTTTCAATAATAATAATATATACATACATACATATAAATGAGGCAAGTGTGAATTTTTGCAGTGCGGAAACTTTTCTCTGTTCGAATACCAGCAAACGCCGCCGCCAGCCTATGACTCGCCTCCTTACAAATGTTTATCTCCGGGTCGGAAAACACGGACCGGGCGGGAGTGCTTTCGCGCCCTGCTTGCCAGTCGGTCATCCGGCCTTACTCACCGCTAACAAGTCTTCTTCATACATGTTTTATATGTCGAGCAAGACAAACAAAAAATAACTGAAATAAATTTATTACAAAAAGAAAGAAAATAAACTTACACTGCCAAATAAATGTTTTCCAAATGTTTCAAACTAAATAATAAATTAAATTAAAATTGAATATTTTAAAATCAAATCAAAACAGCAACAGAGCAGCAGTAACAAAATTCAGAAAAATGAAACCGCAGGACAATATCACCAATTACCAAAATGACTGAAACATAACACGCCGGGAACCGAACTTATCCATAAACAACACCGAAACCTCTACCAAAATCTAACTCAAAAACTAAAACAACTTATACATCCATTAACACGAGCATTCATACACTTTCAAATATACTCAATATACTCTCACCATACTATTCACATAAAACCCATTCACATAACATTCCACCTGCATGCATACAAAACCAGTTTATACAACGTTTTACCAGCATGCATACAAGACCACCAAGACCACTCCATACAACAAGCGCGCCAAACCAAACAACACACACACACACCACACACACATACATATATATATATATATATATATATATATCAATTTCATGGTTTATAAGTTTGTTTACAATGAATTTCTTAACTTTAACATGGATTTTTTTCTCCTATATATTACATATCATATACTATATTTATATTACTCATCTGGCTATACATTTTAATCATACTTACATTATTATCCAATCTTGAAGTTCACTAAAATCAGAACAGTATGAGATTAAAACTGCTTCAACTGCGTCTTTTAATATTTTTATACAAATGCTTCTGCCAAAACTTTCATGGTCTAAAATCTTCATCAAAAAGATGAGTTTTTCTTGAAATCTTTTTATCATTGAACAAATTGACATTTTTTTTCATTTTTGAACAGCGTGCTCAAGAGCTATGTTTTGAAAATGCTTCAAGACGTCGAAAAATTGTCTAATTCTTTTTCATTTTTTGAAATAATTCAGTTGAGGAAGAGAATTGTATTTATTTGAAATACCGCAAGTTTGCACAGTTTTGGCACTAAGTACTTTGACAAAACTCATCATTACCTTGCAACAATTTTTCAAAAGTTGTATAACTTATATACCAAGAACACAACTCCATCAGCTTGAAATTAAGTTTATCAAAAGAATCAACAATTATTTCTAAAATTGAAAATGACAGCATAACATCAGCACGTCAGCACAGCATTACCACTTTAACACAACAACAAACCAACACAAAAACACTACTGAAAACCATAAAAACACAAAAGAACGGGTCATTCACACCCAGCGTCAACACAGTACTATTTCGGTATATTTAAATTTCAATTTAACCTTGCAATCAAGATTTTTAACAGAACCAAGCCAGCCTGAAGAAGACCTCATATTTTGAAATATCACGTACAAACATGACTATTGTTATACAAAGTAAATAACAGTTTTATAGTAAAACAGAAATAAACGTTATTTTTTATGTTCACAAAGTTGATATTTGAAAAAATATGATTAATAAAGACAATGATGATTCTGTTCAGCGTCGGTTTTTCGACACATCTTCAATCAATCACAGAGAAGAAGATACCAAATGGCAATTGAGACACTTAGTTTTTTTTTATAAAACATTATACAGACTCGACTGATGAATATTTTTTCAGAAAAAAAATTTGTTTTATACACAAAACCTACAAGGAGTATTCGCCCATATTTATACACAATGACACACTTACTAACATTCACACATACATATTTACATACATGCATACATACTCACATACATACACAAGCTTACACATGCAATCACACGCACGCAAGCTCGCACGCACACACACGCACACACAAACATGCAGACATACGTAGTTAAACAATTAGCAACATAAACATTGATGAACGCATGACTCTATTGACACACGCAAGCGTCAGACAATGTACGTGATGATTCCACAAATAAACACTCCGTCATCTGCACTATTAATTGCACTTTCACGCACAATTGAACTCTGGCATATTCATACAGATAGCAACAATAATGTTCAATAAATGCTTACTTCCCAATAAACAATTCGAGTGTGCGTGTGTCTCAGTGTGTGTGTGTGTGTGTGTGTTTTGTTTGCATGAGTATTTATAAGTGTGAAAATTATTTTTATTATTTTTTACATGATGTTTTCATAAAAACTGAATTTATAATTGTAAATT